GGTGGGGGAGACTTGTATACATAAGTGGGGGTTGGCGGTGGTGGAGACTTGTATACATAAGTAGGTGTTGGTGGTGGAGGAGGTGGTGACTTGTACACATAAGTAGGCGTGGGTGGCGGGGGAGACTTGTACACATAAGTAGGTGCTGGAGGAGGTGGGGACTTATATACATAAATTGGCGACGGTGGTGGAGGAGACTTGTAGTAGTACGGAGCCGGGGTTGGCTTCGGCTTCGGCTTCGGCTTCGGCTTCAGCTTCTTACACTCCTCATACGGAGTCTTTGGAGCATAAGCAAATGGTTTAGCATAGAGCACAACTTCGTACTTATCCTTGGATTTCACCTTGAGCTTGGCACCCTTCTTTCCCCAATGAAGATTTGTTGGAATTTTACACTTCGATCCCTTTGGTGGTGCATGGAGTTTTGCCTTGCATGCCTTTGCTCCATAGTTCCCATACTTAAAACCTTCAACTGTAATACTGTATTTTCCATTAATTTTTGTTTTTCCATATGCCTTAATTTCCTTGTCACCAGTCTTACATATCACTTCCACAACAGCACCTGTTTCATGTGCACAAAATTAAATCCTTAATTAAATAAAGTTGCTGCCAACCATTTTAGAATATTTTCAAAGACCAACTTTTGCACAGTAACCAATAACGTTGTCCTTTCCATATTGTTAAATGAAGAAATGATTATTATTATTATTATTATCCTTACAATATTTTTATGCAAATTGTAGTTAATCAAATAATATTTATTAATCAGAATCTCTTTACAACAATATTGGATCATATTATATATTTAAAGCTACCAGTTGAGTTGGTGATGTCCAGCAATATACGACGCGAATTATGAAAATCGAAAGCAGAGATTTACAGACAATCATTGGTGCTAAAAAAAGACCAACAAATTTCACTTTCATTGTTGACCATGTAGCAATTCACTTTTAAAATATGAAATTATCTGTAACAATTTAATTTCAAATTGAAGAATGCAAATATGTAAGAATAAAGGAAAATTAATTAATGGGAGGATAATAATTTGTACCTTTTAGATGTTTCTTGTTATGGGACTTCTCTGGGTAGGACCAGTCATAGCATTTGAAGCAGTATACTTTGCCTACTACCTTGACAACGAAAGGATGGTGGGGTGGGTAGTGTGGAACTGCTGGTGGTGGTGGAGATTTGTAGTAATACGGAGGAGGTGGAGACTTAGCTGGTGGTGGTGGAGATTTGTAGTAGTACGGAGGAGGTGGTGGAGATTTGTAATAGTATGGTGAAGGTGGCGGCGGCGATTTGTAGTAGTATGGTGGAGGTGGTGGAGATTTGTAGTAGTATGGTGAAGGTGGTGGTGGTGATTTGTAGTAGTATGGTGGATGTGGTGATGGGGAGGGTGGTGGTGGCGATTTGTAGTAGTATGGCGGTGGAGGAGAGGGTGAAGGTGGTGGTGGCGATTTGTAGTAGTATGGTGGTGGTGGTGAGGGAGAAGGTGGTGGTGGTGATTTATAGTAGTATGGTGGTGGTGGTGAGGGAGAAGGTGGTGGTGGCGATTTGTAGTAGTATGGTGGATGTGGTGATGGTGAGGGGGGTGGTGGAGATTTGTAGTAATATGGTGGTGGAGGTGAGGGAGAAGGTGGTGGTGGTGATTTATAGTAGTATGGTGGTGGTGGTGAGGGGGAAGGTGGTGGTGGAGATTTGTAATAATATGGTGGAGGTGGTGATGGGGAGGGTGGAGGGGGAGATTTATAGTAATAAGGTGGAGGTGGTGAGGGAGAAGGTGGTGGTGGTGACTTATATACATAAGGTGGTGGTGGTGATGGAGAAGGAGGTGGTGGCGATTTGTACTCATATGGCGGTGGGGGAGACGGTGAAGGTGGTGGTGGCGACTTGTACTCGTAGGGAGGCGGTGAAGATGAATAAACATATGGGTCAGCCGAAACAACACTAGAAACCGCCAAAATGGCCAATGCCACTAGGAATTGTGGCAGCACACGGCCCCTTTGGGGGCCGCCGCCCTGTGTAATCATTTCTCCGCCAAAAAAATTCCCCAATTCCGGCCAATTTCCAACCTAAAACTCTCTCTCGCTCTCTCTGTCTTGTAACAAAAATACAAGACAAGTCTCCTAGTGTATTAGTGAGAAGGTGATGACTAAAGTGTGTTCAGTGACTCCAATATATATAGCAAATGATAATAAAGATAGCTGTTGTTAGAGTAGAGCTGTCAATCAGTGACCAATTCAATTGATTATAAGTAACTTGAACAATTTTAAACTCTTAGCAGCTGGAAAGTTAATTATTTCAAGTCCATGTTTGACCCACCTTGATTTTCTCAATTTATTTCTGTTATGAACAAGTGACCTGATACACAGTTAAAAAATTACAAATTTGATTATAACCTAAAATTAGTTGACACCTTCTAAAATTGCAAGACTACACAATATTTTGAAAAAAAAAATGTTTAAACCAACTACCTATCTTACTCAAACAATTGAATAACAACACGACATAAAAAGAACTGTGTTTGTCGAACGCGTAATGCGAAAATTTCCATACTTTATATCCACGTTGCTTGATTACGCAAAATCCGTCTACATTAAATTTCGTCATTTTCTTTACTATATATATCCACAATCCGTATACATTAAGGTTCACTTTATTTATATATATTGGACCACTCCTCCACCGAGATAGATGTGTGCATTGGTGTTTAGAATTTACATGTTGCGACGTAGAAGTCCATGTGATTTCTCAATTATGAGATGTGCATGGGGTAGCATTCAATTATTTTTGCAGGCTTTTTTCTTGTGGCAATCATAAAAGGGCAAAAAGAAGAAGAAGAAAAGTCTATTTTTGTGTTCGATTTATTTTAGGGGGTTTTTTTTCCTCAAGACACTATAATTTCTAGTTACTTTCAATTACAGATATTTTCCACTCACTTTTGAGAAAGTGATTGTTTGTTAAATTAAAGGTTGGAAACCCCCCCGTCTCAATTGGTTTAATCGTATAGCCCAATACGACTCAAACAAGTAGGGAAAAATAAAAATAAAAAATGAATCGTTTAGCCCAATACAACTCAATTTGGGCTCTATACATCGATTTCACGTGACAATGAGAATGCATGTTATGGAGATCGCGAAAGTAAATTTTTTATAGTTCATGGCATGATAAAAGTTAATCGGTCATCAAGAGTGTGATCGAAGACTATCGATGAACAAAATATTGAAAGTTTGAATTTTCTTTAGTCTTTTTACTTTTCTTCGCATATTTATAATTGAGAGTCACGTTATTACCTTAAACTAGTTGTGTGATAACACGTGTATCAAAGATGATTGTACCTAGAATTTTCAAGTTTTTTTGTAGTTTTCAATCTCTAGATAGAAAAGGGAAGTAAAAAAACCACATGAAAACGATACATATGATTTCTTTGTAATAATTTTTGAATATAGACTAATTTGTACCGACAGACATATACATATGGGAAAATTGCATATATCACCCCCAACGTTTGGTTACTTTTATCATTTTAACCCAACATCTTTTTTTCATTCCTCAACATTCGACTTTTAGGTGCATTTTGTTACTACACACGGTTCTATCCAAAAACCTGTTAATTTGAATCCTGTTCAGTGATAAATAAAGGTCTCATGATAGAAAAATTGAAATATAAAAGAGAGAGAGAAAAAAGAAAGTAACAACTGCACCTTCAACCCTTTGTTGATCTTGCCAACTCGAGGCAGGCAACAATCCCACAAAAGAATTTTTATTTCTCGAGAATGGAACAAATTTTCCCGAATGCCCAATTTTGTTTTTGCAATTGATGGTAACGAATGTTTTTGTTTCTCTAAAGATTAGAAATGTATAATAAACTATTTTAATAAATGAAAAGACCGCATAACTATTATCCCGATCATGGTACTTCTCAGTGTCTCTTGTCTTTCCATTATCAACGGCTTTTAGAATACGTTATTCAAATATGAAGAAAAAAGGTTAATTGTATTCGTAACATTTTAAAAGTTTTTTGGACCATGGCTATATAGCTCGATGTGCAAAATGGATTTTTAATAAAAGGTTAGGGGTCCACCTGCAATTTAGCATATATGCCTTGTATTCTCATATGTCTCAAGTTTGAATAATATGTTGTGCTTAGCACGCCATTGACTGTAATGGAAGATGAAGAAGAAAAACAAGCCAAAAGGATAATTGGTGCCAGGCATCATTCATCAATTAGAGGTCCTTGTCCATACCATCAAAGTGAAATTTTCACTTCTTCTTTTCTTGCTTTTACTTCTTGATGAGAAGCTTGAATTTTTTTTACAATTATAATAAAAAGTGAAGTTAGCGACAAATGGTCACTAATTAAGGCTCCGTTTGGTAACTATTTTTCTACAAAAAAATGCATTTTTGTGTCAAATCACACCTTTTTATAGGACAAGTCACTATTTATTTCCATTCATGATAGAAAAATTGAAATATAAAAGAGAGAGAAAAAAGAAAGTAACAACTGCACCTTCAACCCTTTGTTGATCTTGCCAACTCGAGGCAAACAACAATCCCATAAAAGAAATTTTATTTCTCTTGAGAATGGAACAAATTTTCCCGAATGCCCAATTTTGTTTTTGCAATTGATGGTAACGAATGTTTTTGTTTCTCTAAAGATGAGAAATGTATAATAAACTATTTTAATAAATGAAAAGACCGCATAACTATTATCCCGATCATGGTACTTCTTAGTGTCTCTTGTCTTTCTATTATCAACGGCTTTTAGAATACGTTATTAAAATATGAAGAAAAAAGGTTAATTGTATTCGTAACATTTTAAAAGTTTTTTGGACCATGGCTATATAGCTCGAAGTGCAAAATGGATTTTTAATAAAAGGTTAGGGGTCCACCTGCAATTTAGCATATATGCCTTGTATTCTCAATATGTCTCAAGTTTGAATAATATGTTGTGCTTAGCACGCCATTGACTGTAATGGAAGATGAAGAAGAAAAACAAGCCCAAAGGATAATTGGTGCCAGGCATCATTCATCAATTAGAGGTCCTTGTCCATAATTTTCACTTTTTCTTTTCTTGCTTTTACTTCTTGATGAGAAGCTTGAATTTTTTTTACAATTATAATAAAAAGTGAAGTTAGTGACAAATGGTCACTAATTAGGCTCCGTTTGGTAACTATTTTTTACAAAAAAAAAAAAATGCATTTTTTGTGTCAAATCACACATTTTTTGTGTCTCTTTCCAGCCACGGACCCCACTTGATGTGAAAGAAAAAATGTATTATTTGAAGAAACAATGGCTCCCAAACGGAGGCTAAATTTACTAAAATTATCATTGGGCACGATCACATAATACTACAAAGAAATGTGTCAGTTGAAAAATCCATCATTGAACTCAAGTCCGTTAATTAAGTGCACTAGTAATGGGTTTCTTCATAATTATCAAAATTAATTTAAATATTCTAATTGGGGAAATTCGAATAGATGGTCAATCTCTTTTGGTTAAAACTACTACACATAGTTTTAAGGAATTATCCATGAATTTAAGTTTATGTAGATAAGGGCCTCTCATTCTTGGACCTTAGATATCTTTGAAACCCAAGAATTTATTTTTGATCGAATCTTCAACAACTTGTTTATACACTTGGTAAAAAAAAAAACTTGTCCATTCATTTGCTCCATTGATAAAGTGTCATTTCGAATCATTAGAATAGTCAGTTTTTCGCTAAATCTTGTTTTCTTCACGGGTTTCAAAAGATGTGACAAAAGTTTTTAGAAACCTCAAGAGTGCCACCTAACATTATCTCAAAACATTAATCATATTCATTAAATCTCAATTTCCATGCTTAAAAACTTTCAACATATTGAGTTTCAAAAAAGCTTTTTGATTTGAAAGTTATTCATAAAATATTGCATTATTTGTGAGCCCATGTGATGTCCAAGAAGTTAAGTCATAATATATACCTCCTGTCACCATCCACAAAGACAATTATGTGTACTTAATTGCATGATACATCCTTTCCAATTTGGAAATTTAGATGTAAAAGTTTTTGTGTTGACTAAATACACAATGAGATGTACCAGAAAGTAAAAAACTTGATGGACTATGTAAAGTTTATTTTTACAAAAATGCTGTTTGTACAGCCCGAGCTTCACAGCTCGAGCTACAGCCTTCTTACAAAGCTGTGGGGCCTTTGATTATTTTAATTGCGGACCCCGCCCCTGAATGTGAGAGGACTGTCAATCGTGCTGTGAGCCGAGCTCTGTGTGTAGCATTGTTCTTATTTTTAAACATGTTGAGTCTTCTGTATCTCGATAAAAAGTTTGTATTCAGCCGTCATGATGGAAATGGTTATGTATCTTCTTCTCTGGCGAGATCCTATCAAAAATCACCACCTTCAACCTATACTGCCACCACAATTCCCACTCACTACCACCAACTACGAGTGTTCCATCGCCACCGCCACCTTTCAACCTCCTTCACATTCCAAAATCAAACCAAGAAAACTCACCCACACTAAAAAATCAGCCAAGAAAAATCACTGGCCCTTGCCACCCCACACCCACCACCATTAATATGAAACCATAAATCAAATTCATCTCAATCAAACTCAAAAATCAAATCCCACCCCATCCAAATCAAAACCAAAAATCAAATCACCTAGCCACCAACACGTCGTTGCACTAATTTTTTCATTTGCAACCTCACTGAAATGAAAACATCGATGCATTAGTGGTTCCTTGGCAACAAAGAATTGGATTTTCCCCAAGTGAGCTAGATCAGAATTTAAAATCCCGGAAGCTATATCGATTGTTTGTCCCATTTTTTGTTGAAATACCATCATTAGATTGGGTGCCTTGATTGTGAGAGTTCACCGGTGATAGTTCGCGATGATGGGTATGATCGTAGGAGCTACCAACAGTTTTTGAGTTCGTAAGATAGGGGTTTTGGGTGGTTATTTTGCCGACATCTGGTGGAGTTAGGGTTAGTGGTTATATGGGATGTGGAGAGGGGAATGAGGGCTTTCAGATAGTGTGAGTCGACGATTGGGCGGTGTTGGGGAAAAATATAATCAGCAATAGTGTTGGTCGATATTGGTGGCTGATTTTCAATCGTGGGGGGTAAGTTGGCAGTGAAGAAGAAAGCATTTTTTATTTATTTGGTTTTTTATTTTTTTGCTTATTTATTTAATATGGTAATTTTAAACTTACCATTTTACCCTTTTGAATGTAGTCAAAATTGGTCCAAATCCACTTTTTTGGTCAAATAACAATCGAATGGATGTTTCCCACTCCATTTGGACTCCCTCTGTATATATTATGAAATGTTAGGACCTTCGTTGGCACAAAATGAAGGTTAAGGTTAAGTGTGCAAAAATTGAAAAGGTTAGGGACCACTACTACAATTTTCGTATAAGTAAATTTTAAAGTAAAATAATATGTTATGTTGAAATGAGGAAATTACTTATTATTAAAACTTATTTTTCCTTGTGTCAAAATACAAGTCTACTTCCGATGACAAATAAAAAGTAATAAATTGAGAAGTGTTCAAAAATAGACGTTACTTAAAGTAGAACTTACTTTTGCTGTCAATTTTACAGTATGAGACTATACAAAAAAAGAAAATTAGCCCTACAGAGTGTAAAAAATTGGAGTTTTTGTTTTTTTAATTAAACAAGGTGGTGAACAACTGCTAACAAGAATATATTCTAATTATATCCAACACTAGAAGTTATACCCCTTAAATCTTAATAAAATAATTAAGACGACAATATTATATAAGACACGCTGAAATGTAGAAATGTCAAAAAAATTTCGTCCCTGATCCATTCTACATTTTCTCACCCCAAATTGTAAACGAGGTGGTGATGGAGAACATGGTCCCTAATGAATCCTTTTATTTTTTTATATTTTGTATTAAAATTAACTAAATAATTAAACGCAATAAACATAATTTTTTTTAATCCCATCCCACCTCTCACGCTTCTCAATGGGACAGAGATGATAATGACTATTCAACCCCATTGTCGTTATTCCTGAAATACGTACATAAACTCTTGAAACAAGTCAGATTAAAGAAAGAGAGTTAGTTCGCTTAAAAACCATTTGTAACCCGTCACCTACCATTATCCCCTCTTTCTCCCTCTTCCTTTCAAATCTGTGAACAGTGATGATCAAGTTAATTTTTTGCCAAGGTTTCAAGATAATTAATTTTTTCTATAAACACTTGCGTTTGTTCTTTGGTTGGACTATGTTACCCTAGGTCAAATATTTACCGAGCCAGCTTTGTCTTACACGTAAACCGTGTTTACACTGGCTTAGGCCCATTTTGTTAGTTTTGTCAACACGATTACTTCTTCAAATTGCATTTCTTCTGAAATGCGACAATAGAAATAAACAAATACATATAATAAAATATCCTTGTGTGTATGTTGGGGGGGCGGGGGGGGGGGGTGGGGTTAGAAAGGATCTGGATATGCTAAGAACAATCTTAGAGACACGAGAGGACGTTATTTAACATGTATGGTGGGAATGCTTCATTAACTAAATACAAGTAAAATATATGGCATGGCCACATGGCCCACTTCTTCACATAAACAAATAAACTCTTTCTTATGGAAAATAATTAATAATTAACAAAACATTTTTTTGGTTAAAATTTGTGCTTATTTTTGTCCCGTGTAGCTAAAAATATTAAGGCTTATAACACCCTTAGGATGTGCTTGATATATAAGAAATGAGCATGATCAAAGAGCGAGACTTATAATCGGAGACGGAGATGGGGGGTGACCGCCTCCCAACATTGTCCGCTGATTTACTATTTCTAGTTAATTTTTAGTGTATTTTTTAGTTTCATCCCCCCAAAATTTTGACTCGCCCTGCAAAATTTTGAAATTTTTTTTTCCATTAATAAATATTGACCAAATAACTTACACTTTAAATTTCAACCATACAAAAATCTTAGACCTAAACAAAAGTTCAAATAGTTACTTAAATAAATAAATAGTCCAAATCCAATATATGTGTGCCAATTGTTGGNATTTAGAGACTAGCCTAACCTTTACGAACTGTGTAAGAGGAGCACTGGGATTGCGCGATGTGGTAAGCAAAATCTTAGGATTTCTATCAGCCGCATTTGCATATTCATCATCAATTGTTGAACGAAGAACTACATAAATACAATTGGAATCAGGACATCAGACACCAACAGACAAAATGGAATCAATTTTACCATGAAAATGAGAAGACTGCAAGAATACTATAGCCGAACCAATATAATAGGTAACATGTTTATAGGGAAGTCAAACATTACATGTTCCTCTTGCGTTCAATCGGTCAGTGACAAGGCAAGCTTTACAACCAAACAGATATTCTCATAGAACAAGGCTTGTATATCTAATTTCAAGCATGATTTCCAAATGACGAGCTCAGCTCCATCCTGTTGGATTTTTGTCTTTCCCTTGACTAGTTAATACCAAAAAATCAATTAGTAGGAAAACTAGGCATGTTTTCCAAAGGGTTGAAAGCTAGTAGTAAACCAGTTAGCTAGCTGAAGTTAGAAAGTCCAAAAGTAGCTGTTTCTTGTAGCTCCAACGTGGATAAGGACCACTGAACATAAATTGAGTGAGATTTGAATTCCTATGTCTTTCTTTTCCTGTTAGTTAGGAAAGAAATATGCAAAAAAGTCATTTCTATAGACCATAAATCACATCTTTTGACACCAATTACTAGAAAATTGATCCCTTTTGATTCACTATTTGTTCTTTGGGATCTTATGTACCAAATAATACTCTGGCTGGTCCATTCTAAAATGACACCACAAGGGATATCAACTCAATCCATGGGAAATCATGCAGAGGCCTACTTTATAAAAACTACTAGAAAGGACACCACCATATAGATCAAAGTTATGTACTATATAATATATGACACATAAGTAATGGAGAATGTAGGATCACTTTACAAAAAGTATTTTCAAGAAGAGGAGGAGGAGGAAAATATTAAATAAAAATGAAGTAGAAGAACCCAGATTCCAAATGAACAAAATCAAACTTGAAAATGATCTTTCTGATTCGGACATGATTAAGAAAAGCGCAAAACTATAAATTTGAACCTCCCGAACTGGAATGTCTAGTTCACTAGGCATTAGCATTTTAATCAAAATTGAACCTCCCGAACTGGAATCGACGATTTAGGTCAAATTCCAAAAAAAAGACGGTTCTGGTTCCAACAACCATTAATCGATAGATTCTGGGTCGATTCTTGTTTCTAGAAGCAGAATTGAGGGAGCCTATCAGGAACTGATTTTTTTTTATTCTTTTATAGTTTTATAACTTTATTCACCATCCAGTCCCAGTAAATCCGTAACCCTAATTTCTAGGATTTGTCACGGTGGTATTTGGACAAAACTGAAATAGAGAAGTTGCATGTATAGTTCAGTAGTGGATTAAGTGTTAAAAAATACTTGTGAGTATATATTGGTAGATATTGGATGCTATTATTGAAATCGCATTTTATATGTTAATGATTAAGTTGGATGAAATCTGGTAGATATTAGATGCTATTATTGAAATGTAGTATTGAAATAACATTTTATATGTTAATGATTAAGTTAAATGAAATCTAGGATGATCGTAATGTCAACTTATGATATATATATATATTTTTTTTTTTAAATGTTATTGGTATAACTGAACATGAATCGACGGTTTCGATTCGGTTACAATAATTACGTGGAATCTAACGGTTCCATTTACAAAATATCTGAAACTTAATGGGTATTTCCGGTTCTAAAAATATCCGGATCAAATCGACGCTTACCTTTATAGTTCAAGGTACAAAAATGTCCTTAAAAATGACATGTTTGCTATATTGAAACTTTAGAGTTACATATACCATCCATTTGAAAAGAAAAGGATTGTTCTAGCCCGCGATTGGTATAGCTATCACATTTTGGTTTCAAGTCGTTAGTTTGATTGAAGCAATGAGTCGATCATCTCAAATCTAGTCAAATTCTTATCTCGGTGTGGTAGGAATCTAGATTAGTTGTTAAGTCCCTCTTTGGGTTCTATTAAAATGAGATTTCGAGGGAAAATGCATTTTGGAATAGTGAATTCTGGAGATGTGTGATAAAGAAATGTTTTATATTTAGTGTAATATTATTTTATGAAAGAATGTGTGATTGAAAAAGAGTTTTTGAAAAAATGGAGCCCAAATACAGCTAAGTGTGTTGTTGTATTGTATTCTAGACTATGTTTATCTCTTATCCGGATGTATTTTAGATTCAAGACCTATTTGGGAGTTTTTTTTTCACCAATTTTAACCAAATTTGAATGACAACGTTTATGAGGGTTGGAAAAATCGGTGCTTACTAATTTTTTGGACACCAATTTTGGATGGTAACCATCCAAAATCGGTATCATGTAATTTTGACCGATTCTCTTAATCCACCATATCGACAAATTTTGATCGAACCGTAAATAAAAAATATATTAACTAAAAAATTATAGATAAGCGAAAAAACTTACATTATAATCAAAAAATACTTATAAGCAAAATATTACTTATAAGATAAAAAATTATATTATAATTAATAAATTACTTATAAGTAAAAAATTCACTTTTATATAAAACAATTTATAAAATAAAAAATACTACTAATAAGACAAAAATTCACTTATAATTTACCAAAACGTAAAAAATATTGAATTAAATTTTTCAATAAATATATAATTTTGTTCAATTTTTAAGTTAAATATTAACTTGTATGTAAAAATAATCACCTATAAGTAACATATCACTTATGAGTAATAAAATCTCGTACAAAAACTATAAACTGAAAATTTACTAAGTGATATATATGTAATTTTAAAAATCGCTGCTAAAATCACTCAAAATCGATCCGCATGCTTAAATTGATACTTTAAAAAACGCTTATAACTAATATACCGTGACTTCTAAGCATGTCCTAAGCCCCATTCTCCAAAAAGTCATTTCTTGTCAAACTCATTTTCAATTACACATTCTCCAAAAAAAATAATTTTACATGTAAATGCAAAATTGTTATTTACTTTTTTAACTCTACATTCGCTAAAAAATCACTATTACAAAATTCATTTAAAAAAAAAAGAAGGGCACATAGAGAGCCTAAGTCTACCTCTTGTTGGGTATATATGTTGTGAACACACTCAAGCTTTTAAACGAGTTTTGACCTATCTTCTGATAAGAAATACTAATGATGGACAAAATAATCAAATCAGACCAAACCAAATCACACGATTTGGCTCGATTCTACCAAAAAAAAATAAAAAATTATTGTTATGATTCTTAGAACTGAAAATCATTTGATTCTGGTTCGGTTCTAGTTCTAAAACTAAGAATCAAACTCAATATTTAAATTCTATTATATATAATCAAAATAAAAAAAAAGATTATGTACCTTTGGTTTCACATTTATGGATTTCTAAAACTAAAGTCTCAACCTTCAATTCTTCTTCTGCAATTGTTTTTTCTTTTTTTTTTCTCAATCAGTAATGGAATTTGAACCAATTAAACCAGAATTGAATGGTTCAACTCGGTTTTGGTTCCATATCTTCAAAGAAACCATTTGGTTCTATTATTAGAAAAAAATATTGGTTCATTGTTCGATTCGATTCTCTTGAAATCAAAACCAAATGGAACAATGTCCACCCCCAAGAGCCTGCTTGGGAATTTCGCCATACTGATTATGAGTATTTTTTAAAGTACTGGTTTTGAGCGTTTATGAACGGATTGATTTTGAATGATTTTAGTAGCAATTTTTAAAATTGTCCAACATATGCTTATGAGTATATTATTTACCAATTCTGAAAGTTTTTTAAAAGAATAAGATTACGCACGTGAAATTTTCGGTTATGTCATTTTTTTATTCATAAGTGATATTTTATTTTTAGATGATTTTTTTACATATAAGTTAATATTTAATTTTAAAAAATAAATATATTTATATATTTACACAAAATTTTAAGTTATTATTTGTTACTTATAACTAAAATTTAAAATTATAAGTAAATTTTATACTTAAATAATTTTAAGTGAATTTTTTTACTTACTTTTTTATATTTTATAGGTGAAGTTTTATCTTATTAGTAGTATTTTTATTTTATAACAATTTTTTTACATAAAAGTAATTTTTACTTATAAGTAATTTTTAATTATAATGTAATTTTTCTCATCTAACAAGTAATATTTTACTTATAAGTATTTTTAAAATTATAATATAATTTTTATATGATAAATATTTTTTTAGTTAATATATTCTTATTTACAATTTAGTTTTTGAACAAAATTAGTTGGTTGCATAAAATTATTTTGTAAAGGGTGAAATTAGGAAAGAATGTGAGAAACGGTCAAAACCTGACGATTGAAAGAACCGCTTAAAATTATACTTCGCCAATTTTGGCTTTTAAACCATTCAAAATCGATGCCTAAAAAAACTAGCAAGTACCGATTTTTCAACATTTCTTAAACGGAACCACCCAAAATCAGTGAAAAAAACTCCCATGCAAGCATTGAGAAATACATTAGAGATAAGAGGAGGCGTCCGTTTAGCCCAACTGTTGTGAGTAGAACTTTTGATAGCATGACTTTTATTAAAAAACCTTTAGCCCAACTATTGTCCGTTTAGCCCAACTGTTGAAAGTAGAACTTTTGATAGCAGAACTTTTATTAAAAAACCTTTAGCCCAACTATTGTCCGTTTAGCCCAACTATTGAAAGTAGAACTTTTGATAGCAGAACTTTTATTAAAAAACCTTCGGCTGTTTGGCAATGAATCCAAAAAGTATTTTGTATGACTTTATGTGTGTTTGAGTAAATTATTAATAACATTTTAGGAGATATTTTCTTGAGATGGGATGCGATGATTTCGGTGCTTCCATTAGAAACAACTATTTCTTGTATCGGAGGATGTTCAAATTGAAAAGTTTGACATGAAGGAGTTTCCGTGTTTTTTTTATTCATATGGGTATTTTGAATATATTTGACTTTTGAAATCTTTTTACCGAATACTTTGAAATGTGCCCTTTCATAAAAATTGAAATCTTCTGGAGAATCGTGAAATTCTTCCCATAAAGATTCAATTTCGGTTTTTGAAAATATCTTTTTGAGAACAAAAAGCTTTGATAACAAGAGTTGGTCAGTTTTGAACTCATTTCATCTATCTATGTCAGAAGAAATAACATTGCATTGACTATCCAACTTTTCAGATGAATTAGGTAACATATCAGACAAAGTTGGAGATGCAGGATGTTTTGAATCATCATTTTTGTTAGATGTGTACTGAGTCTTAGGAATAATGGGATTAAAATTGATTCTTTGAGTTTTTCCGAGGAAGTTGAAAACCTTGAAGTTTGCAAAGGAATTTCAGATCTATGTTCAGATATGGAAGAAAATGACCTCCGAAGACCTTTTGATGTAGATCTTGAAAAATCATTTTGACATGTCTATTAGGAATTGGGTTTTTGAACATTCTCAAAATCTCATTCTAATTCTCTGGATTGAAGATTACATGGCGTCCTTTTAGAAATCATGGTATTTGAATGAAGATGGTTAACTTCCACTAGAAGCTTTCTTCTCTTGTAGATTATTGAAGAGCTCGAATGTTGAGTTGAATGTTCATAAGTTTATAATATATTCGATGTATTAAAGCAAATGATTTTGAACGATCATCAATATCATAATTCTTTGTTTGAATATGAAGATCAAGAACATTAAGAATATCTCTATCATTGAGGTTGATTGTAAAATTTGGATAACAATTTGAAAAAATCAAACCACTTTCTAAATTTGTTTCTAAAACAGAAGATAATGAATGTTCAAATTTGAGAAGTCTCTTATCTCTGAGAGTTGAGGGAATGAGAATATCTAAACCAAGTGTAAACAGTGATTTAACAGTAATTTGAATAAGTCCCTCATGAAGATATTTAAATTTTCTTCTAATGGGTTTAAATAACATCTTTTGAAAATAAATTTATTTGAGATGATAGATTTTTGATAACAATAGTTTGCTCAAAAGTTTTAATAACATAATTTTGAGTAAAAT